ATTATTTTTCCCAAACTTAATACGCATGATAATCTCGCAACCAAGTCCCGTTATCATGGAGGATATATCAATTAAGCTCTAAAAAAACAATTTCTATAGTTTGCTATTTTTCAAAGTTTCAAGAGAAATTCAAATCATTAATTGTATCTCATCAAGAAATCACAACTAATATCTGCTCTTTTAACTTGTCAAACAATTATCAGGATTATTCAAAGCATGAGAAAAACATGATTGAACTCATCTAAAAATTAACCCTAACAATCAATTGGAAAAATAGACAATAAACATTTAGGATCAATATGGAAAAATAAATCATGAGTAAAAATCAAATAGAATATTTAAGTTTCATCCTTGCCCTAGCTATGGAGTTTAGCCAAACATAATGTAAAATTCAACAAGATTGATAGTAAAACTTGACATATTAAAGAAGAAGGGAAGAATTAAACTCTGAAATTGGAAGAAAAGGAGAAGCTGGAGCCGCTCAGGAGCCGTCGCCGCCGCGGCCGCACCAGGTCGCCGCTGCTCTCACTGCCTCGGCTCTGTTCCGTTCTCTTTTTTTCCGTTTTTTCTCGATTCCAGCCCCCTTGATATGATGCGGCTCCTCTCTCTTTATACCCATCATGTCTCTCTTCTTTTTTTAGGTTTAATGTGGGTTGGGTTGAGAATTGAGATAGAATTTGTATAGCAATTGGATCTTGACTTGCACTTGGACTTTAAATCTTCAATCCATTAAAGCTTGGCCCAATTCTCCATCTCTTGAATTTAACATCTTTTTTTCAAAGAGTATATCTAAAAATACATATAAGAGAAATTAATTTCAACACGAAATATAATAAAAACTTTACCCAACTTAAGATTTTAGTGTAAAAATATAACAAGTAGCCTAAAGAGCCAAATATTTCATTATACACTTTATTTTCACATAAAATGCATTAAAAATAAAATAAAGAACTAAAGTATGACCAAATAAAATGTGACAATTTGTAACGTATCACATAATCCATACCAACAAAACATAATGTGGAGAACACTCTTGGACGTGCATGGATAACATTAGAAATACAAGCCTGAGATTTCAAAAATGGATCCAAACATAAAGAATGATTAAATAATAATAATAAATTAAATTGAAAAAATGAACAAGGATCCCAAATAAGGTTTGAAGGAATGCAGCTGCTTACAGAAGCAACTCAAGGCAACAAAATAGAGCAATTAAAACAGAGGATGCAAAGCCAATAAGCTAGGAATTCCAGTCACATATATTGTTATTTGGATGAAGGGCCAACTAACCTTCAAGAAGCTATGCATGAGGCTTCAACTATCCACTTTGCGGCCTCAAAAAACTCAAAATACTGGTTGTGGAAGTGTATGAGCATTTCATAGCAATACAACGTACGACATGTGCTCCTCCTCGGGAGCAGATATTGCACCTGCGACAAGTGACAACTGTTAAGCTCAATGCATCTATAAAATATAAATATTACACAGATCTAAAAAGAGTTGAAGAGTCACTCTAGCACAGTAGGTCTGGTCTGTAGGTCCAATGTCAAGGATAGTACGTACACTTACATATCTCTGAGTATTTCTGGAGGAAAACTAGTAGCCTCAAATGTGATGAACGGATTTGGAGCATTTTCACCCTAGATAACAGAATAGTAGGGAATCAATGTCAATTGGAAAAATAAACTGAATCCAAAGGAGGATGAATCGTAGACTTCAAGAGATGAAAGCAATGTGACTTTAAGCACACGGATCACTCTCTGTAACAACTTCGAAGTTTAAACATAGCAAGATCCAAGTACGTGCAAAATCATGTATTTGTCATAACATGCTAAGATTGTAAACTAAATCAAAATAAATATCACACTGGAAATAGCGTTTGAGCATTGCGATTCTAAAAGCTTAAGCCATACAAGTCAGTAAATTATAGACAATGCATTTCATAGTGTCTTCCTCATGAGCTAGCTACATAGGAATCAACATTTGTCATACTATCTACAACTTGATACCCCTCATACAATCCCAGCTAAATCAATGATGAGCAACATTAAAATATACAAAGCATTGACGTGATAGAACACACGGTATTATATAATACAAACCATTGTAGTGATTTCATGTTTTTAACGATAATCCTCAGCGTCAGGATGTCCCATAGAAGTTGACGGGGGCGCATTTGGGCGATTGTTGAAAACGCGTGTCCACCGCCACTGGTTGCTTAACCATAAATATTATGTAATGGGGAGGGTGTGTGTATGCATACATTCTCCCTACTCAAAAGCAAAAATCATAGGCAACCATGGTTCACAACCCATCCAAACAGCAAAAATAACAACCATACAAAAACTAAAACAGAGATGCAAATTGAGTGAAGTGGTCCAGCTTAAAAATTCGAGCATAACAACTCAAAATTCTCAGGTTCATAGTGGCACCACTCTCAGCAAAACATTACCCAAAATCGTGATAAACATCAGTGCAAAGCATACTCAAAGTTCGAGTTGTGAACAGTAACACGTATCCAAAAATTTTCCAAATCAGATGATTATTGAAATGGAATTGTAACCCATGTTCATACAATGGAAAAATTAACCATTTCGACGAGAATCCAAGAAGGAAGACCTTCAAATTTGCCCGAGACACCATAAATCTACGATTGAGTTCGCAGATGAACAGTGACGCCATCGCGTTGACCTTTCGATTCTTCAAAAACCATCTCCAAAAACAGCGTACAAAGCTCATATATGGAATCCCCCAACGCCATCGCGTTGACCTTTCGATTCTCTACTTCTGGCACTGTTCATGTCGCGGTCAAGAGCGAGAAAAATGTTGGACTCCATAAATCGTGCCTGATCTAATTCTTCTCCTTTGCCAATTTGTGTGGACTTAAAATTTTTAATCTAATATTTTCCCTCTCCTTTGCCAAATTTTTCCCTCCTTTGCCAAATTTTTTTCTCCATCCTTTTGTCAAAACTTTTATCTTCCCTCTTTTTTTATCCCCTCTACCTTGTTAAGTTTCACTTGTTTATATTTTACTACCTCCGTCCCGCTATATTCGTCCACTTTTGACTTTTGGAACTGTTCATCTAAGCATTTTGACTCATCAAATTCTCTCAATGTGTAAGTCTAAATATAATCATGTGTGATCTTGTTTGATTTGTCTTAAGATATAGATTATTAATATATAATTTTTTAATATACAAATTACAAGATAAAATGGATTAAAGAAGTGCATTGGATGGTGTGTAAAAATGAAAGTGGACAAATATAGTGGGACGGAGGGAGTATCTTTTATTAGTTTAACTTTTTACTCTGTATTTTTTATTTCAAAAAAATTAGTAACTTTTTAAAACAACATAGCGGCAACGCAATACAGATTCAAGACATGTTAACATTTCAAATCTTTTCAACAAAAAATTATGTATTCAAAAATATTGTATTTCAAAAAAACATAGACAGATAAGATTAAACCAAATCAGATAACTACATCTCAGTTTAACATGTTTATATGTTGTTTAGATGATATCTAATCAAATCATATCTCATCAAATAAGATTAAATCAAATCAAAGTGAAAGAGTTTTAAATATAATGTACCGAACTTAAAAGTGAGTTTATAAAATTAGATGTAATCTAATGCATTTAAATACTAGATCAGACAAATAGGACACAACCTATACAAGTGAATAGATTTCCTTTGAAGGTTTGATATGATCTTATGGGCTTTGAATTTGATTTGATTCGATAAGATCTGTCTGATTCGATTTAATTAGGTCCGATCTGATGCATTTAAAGATTATATGAGGCAAATAGGACACAACCTACACAAGTGAATAGATCTTCTTTGAAGATTTGATCTGATGTAATGGGATTTGAATTTGATTCGATCTGGTTAGATCTATTTTGGTCTGATTCGGTCGAATTAGATCTAATCTAATGCATTTAAAGATTAAATCACTCGTACTGATAACAGAACAAGGTAATTGCACAAATCCAATTCTTTGAAATACTCATACTTGATCGTATAAGATCTTACAAGTATTGATAACTGAACTTGTTACTCACACTGATCCAATTCCTTAGGATACTCATACTTTTGACCGTATAAGATATTATCGGTACTGATAACTGAACCGGTTACTTGCACAAATCCAATTCTTCTAAATACGCATATTTTTGGCCATGTAAGATCTTACTAGTACTGATAATAAAAAAAGGTAATTGCGCAGATCCAAATCTTCTAAATACTCATATTTTTGATCGTATAAGATCATACAAGTATTGATAACTGAACTTGTTACTCACACTGATCCAATTCCTTAGGATATTCATACTTTTGATCGTATAAGATCTTACCAATACTGATAACGGAACAGGTTACTTGCATAGATCCAATTCTTCTAAATACGTATACTTTTGAGCTAATAAGATTTTAGAAGTAGTGATAACTGAACTTGTTACTCACACTGGTCCAATTTCTTAGGATACTCATACTTTTAACTGTATAAGATCTTACCAGTATTGATAACTGAACTGGTTACTTGCGCAGATCCAATTCTTCTAACTACTCAATTTTTGGTCATATAAGATCTTATTTTAGATCTCTCCAAACAACTTTTTTTAACATTTCAAAACTCATATTTTCGCGGTCTAAAAAAGAATTTCTTACCTTGATTAACATGTAAAACCCTGTGGTTTTTAAAATCATATTTTTTGCAAATTGGTAAAGAAATAACACATAAAAAATTATTTTTAAAAACTACATCGAAAACTCTACAAAATAAGAGCTGACAAGAGGATTTTATTTTATCAAATGATCAACAAACTTACATATAATTTCACTCATATCAGATCAAATCAGACTAGATCTTAACACATTAGATCAGACAAGATCAAATCAAATAAGATATCATCAAATTACATTAAATCGTTGTTGAAAGAAACAGGAAGTACATGGAAAAAATGGGATCCCTCTTTCCAATTTCATTCTTCTTCTCAATTATCACCAAATTCATTTCCCTCTTCCCAATTTAATTCTCCCTCTTCCCAATTTGATTCTGCCGCTTCCTAGTTTCTTTTTCCAGTTCAAAGAACACCACTACCTCAATAGCCCAACCTTATCTAACCTTAATCGCCATCACGGTGTTGTTCGAGAGAAAAAGGATTCGCCGAGAGCCTTCGCCGTCAGTCCAAGCCATAGCCAATTCGCCTAGAGCCTTCGCCGTCAGTCCCACTGCCCAGTGGCCCACTGCCCAGCACCGCGTCGCCGACTCCCTCAATTCCAATTGAATCAGGTACGGTACTCATCTCGTCTCCCTCGTCTCCTTCTCTTAATCCCTAGTCTTCTTCTCTATTAGGTTTCTTCTTGTTAAATTATTCCCATGCTATTTGTAGGGCTTAGCAAAATTGTTTTATTCTTAGATTTTTTCTCCAAAGCTGATTGTCTATTGTTTTAAAAAAACAATTATGTCAATTGTTAAAAAAAGTTATCAGAACTCAGTTCAAGTGTAGTCTAGTAAAGAGGATGATCTACTTTGGTTTCTAAGTTTGGGTATTTGCTAATCAAGAGTAAGCTTTTGTTTCTATTTCTTGTTTAGATATACTCTTCGGGTTTACACTTTTTGAGGGATTTGGTTTGGTCCTCTCCTCTTGTATTCTTCTTTATTTAATTCAATAAGAATTGATGTTTGGTCTTTTTTTCCGATTTGGCTAATGGCCAGTTCTAAATCCAAATGTGAGTTTGAATTAGCATTTGATGCAGTGGTAGCTTAGTGCTAGAGGGGGCAGTTTCTAGGCAAAGTTGCAGATGGTTCTTCATGGAATGGTTCTTTGGTGTGTTTGGAAGGTATACAATAGTTGTTAGTATGATGGTCCAAAAATTTGCACTAGGCAAGTCCAGTACCAGTAGGTCTTCTATCTGGTCTAGGTTTGGTGTTGGTTAAACAAGAAGAAGTGGTTGGTTTTGGAGCTGATGATTTATACGGGGTGGAGATTGGATAAGTTTTGGTTTATGTGGCTTTAATGTCTAAAATGTTTTCTTAAAATACCCACATGTTCGTTCATGTGATTGTGGTACGGTCAGTTATAAGTGGGAAGTACACCATGCGCGATAACTACACAGGTCTATATACTATGCTGTTAGGGGATTTGGTTGGTTTTTCACTGCTTTGAGATTAGAACAATTTACAAATGCTACATAAAGAAAAGAGTTTACCAGTGTTGAACGGTCTAATAATGATATAATTTTATATCTATTATAGTGATAATTATAATGATCTCTTTGTAGTTATCTTCGTGCACCCTTAAAGTGGTTCACTAAAAGTTAGTTTAATGGTTACTGTTTTTTAAGAGAGAACAAAATTAAAATTTAGTATTTGAAGGAGAGATTGAGGTGAAATGACACTATTTTGTTGATGTCCTTTTATCAATCTCAACTGTGAAGAAGAGATAATGTGAGGGAGTTATTCTATACTAAAAGATTATGTAGTTTTAAAACTTATTTCTTGGTAAATGAATTGAGAGTTGCTGAAAATTGTTGTATGCTTCAAGGTAACAACTTGCTTGTTTTTGATGACTCGTGTCTATGAGTTTAGGAATTGATTTTTGGCTTGATCAATTAATCAATTTGTGATCATGATTAGCTAATTGTTTATAAACTTAATGTACAATTGTGATAAGCTTTTTGTAAACTTAATGAACGAAATCAATTTTTGGGAAACCTGATTGCTCTCTTTTGTGGTGCTTCTGTTTTTGATGATGATCTAGTAGCAGGACTTTCTGGTTTGTTATTCTTTAGGTTGCTTGCAGTCTCAACACAAACATGACTAACCATTCCCAGGAAATCCATGGTTATAACAAATAGCTGAAGTGGCTGCCATGAGTTACTGTTTGAAGCTCCTGTTTGATGGTAATCTAATATCCTCTTCACATGCTCCATGACTCTTGTATGTTCTGCCCTTGTTGCCTTTATCTCCCGTTCAGCAGTATCTAGAAAAACTTTCATTTTTGTTGCAATGAGTTCTTAATAAGTTTCCAGCACTTGCAAATAGATTTATCCTGATATGCTTCCTCGTTAATTCAAGGTGTTCAAAAGCATGTAAAAGTGAGATCATGAACAAACCGACTAAAATTTTCACATCGTGTAGATGAGCATGGAGGAGACAGAGATATAAGATGGTGGCAGATTCGTATGAAAAAGCTTGACAATCATTATGGTATGATGTTTAATCGTTTTGAGTTGTTTTAGATGCCTTTTATTAATGGCTAAATTGAATGTTTTAGATGCCTTTTTTTAATCAATGAAACCTATCATTAAATACTGTCAAAAGTAAAAAAATTAATTAAAATTTTCAGGTTCTCTAATCTCAACAGGAAAAGATGCAACCGATCTAATTAGACGACAATGTAAAGCATATGAGCCCATGTTAATGAGAAGCCAAAGCTCTAAAATTTTCATCCTCCTTATTATGATATGCTGCAGGGAACATGCACATTTGGTGGCATCCATTACAGCAGTCTTGTAGTCTTTAATTTGATAAATATCCGCTATTATAAGGCATAGCAGTTTTTATGAATCCTTACACAGCGGATATTTAACCGTTGTGTAATCATGGGTGTTTTTTCATTACCATTACACAGCGGATATTTAACCGCTGTGTAAACATAAAACCTTTCCCACCCGCCACATGCACAGCGGTTGGTTTCCGCTGGAAAAGGTCAAATTTATCCGCTGTGTAATCCATGTTTTGTAGTAGTGGTACTCTTCATATTTTGTTTCATGTTGGTGTTGTTTTTCATTTAGTGGGAAGTACATACTCAATTTTGGTCCTCATGCCTTTACCATGGTTTTGAAGAACAATTGGGAAGAAAGATCATATGGTCGCTGTCTGATATCGTGATGGTATGAGGTATATATTATGACAGGTTTTGGTCATTGGTGCTATGGCGGCTTTGGCTAAGGTTTTTTCAACAATGGGAGGGACGATCGATGTTGTGCTTAGGTTTTCTATTAAGCAGTTGTTGTAGATATGAAGTATGTGACTACATGCGTACCATGATTTTTTGGCTCTGATATGGAATAAGAGAACTGATTTTCAGCTCAACCTTTCGGTTTACAATTTTGATATGTTCCATTTGATGTTGGCTTTAGCTTATTGTGAGGGGCTTTGGTTTGGTCCTCCCCTCTTGTACTTTGTTTGTTTTTGTTCAATAAATTGACTTTTTCCTTGAGTATTTCTTATATTTTTATGTTTTATACGATCATAAAAAATTATAAAGATGTACAATTTTATAGTATAGAATGTATTGATGATGAGTTGTTTTGCCATAAAAAGAGCATTTTGATGATGGTATATTGAATCATAATAAAGTTCAATTGTAATTTTTTAATTTTAATGATATTTATGGTGGTATTGTTCGTTATAAAGTAGTTTTTTAATGATACTAATTAAAAAGGGTATTCTTAATTAATTATAGACAACTTGTAATAGATTACGGTTTCTATAAATTTTAAAAACAAATCTACACTATATAAATATAATACTGTTATAAGGGAGTCTTCTATTCTTATAATAAACAATTGTGCAAAAAAAACATATGAAACATACAACTAACAATATATTACTACTTCCTATAAGTTAAAAAATAGTTATAAACTGAAAAATCAGACTATTGTTAAGAAATAGTAGTCTTAACTAATTATTGACAACTGTGGCAACAAAAACTGTATTTTTAGATGAAACAGACTACTAATAATAGATTATCGTTTCTCACAACTTTAAAAACAATTCTATCCTTAATTCATAGATTACTGTAACAACAGAGTCTTCTATTCCTATTATAAACAACCATGGTAAAAAACCTTATGAAACAGACAACTAATAATAGATAACTGTTTCTAAAAAGTTTAAAAACAGTTTTAGACTAAAAAACCAGACTACTGTTTAAACAAAGTATTCTTAACTTGTCATTGACAACTGTTGTAACAAAAACTGTATTTTGAACTGACATAGACAACTTATGATAGATTACCGTTTCTCGAAACTTTAAAAATAGTTTTAAAGTATGATAGCTAGACTACTGTTTTGTATCTAAGAAAAACTTACAGTAATCTCTCTTTTTTTACTACTGTGTTTCCATAAACAGTAGTTAATCAACAGTCGTATGATACTGTTTTTGGCGTAGTGCGCACTAAGCACATGGATTTGCTTGGCGTCTTCCCATCATGACATTGCTATATAAGCCTCTCAATCTCTCCATTCTTCACCAAAACTTAATAAGTTTAATATCATTTTGTTCTTGAGAGTGTGAGGAGTGTAGTGGTGCTGACAAATTGGTGTGAAGTTGCTGGAGTTGGGAGTAGTTATCGCTGGAAGTTTCGCTGAGAAATTTACAAAACCTCCATTTAAGCTCGAGGTAAGCCCGTAGATATATCTAGTGACTAGAGTGTTCGTATAGATCGTTTCTACGTTCATAAACGGTCGTTTGGTTGAGTTTGTGTTTGACATGTTTGAAGAACCAAGAATCATAAACCTTGAATTTGATGTTAAAACTATGAATTAGTGATACCAAAATAATCTATGAACCTTGGAAAACATTTCTATATAGTTTAATTGAAGTTTGGTGACTAAAAATGGTATTTTCAAAATTGGACCAGACGAAAAAGAAGATGAACAATAAAATAAAAAAATGCAGAGAGGATCGATCCAGGGGTGGATCGATTCCCTAGATATATTTTTCTCGAAATATGGATCGATCCAGAGTACTGGATCGATCCCCCGAAATTCTGATCCGAAAATCTATCCAAAAGTGCTATTTTTGAGCTCTAAAATCCTACTTTAGATACCAATAAATTATGATCAATGTAAATATGATGCATGACGGTGAGCTAGGGTGTTAACAGTGGACATTAGGCCCTTATTTTTTAGTGTGTATTATGATAACTATTGTTGAATATTGATTATGATCAAACTTTGAAGAATACTCTGAATTGAATGATTATTGGAATGGATAAAACATAATGAAACGCCACTAATTAAATATTGATTATGACATTTAAATGGATGACTGTGTAAACATGATTATAACGATCTTATTCTGACAAAATAAGAAAATATGGTATTGAATGAATAAACCGTAAGAATGAAATTCTGAAGAGATATGTTCGTTTGATTATCCTGATTTTAATGATGATTATGAATTAATGAACCATGGTTCAAAATGAATGGATTGATGACTATTGTTAAGGGTATCTAGAAGAACTCTAAGATAAACTCATTTAGATATTTGATGTTAGGGCTATCTAGAAGACCTCTAGGATAGACCTCATATTAGAATGGACTTGTGAAAATATGAGTATTTGGTGATTTTGATAAAAATGTATAAACGCTATTAGTAGACCAAATTAGAGGATCACAAGTTTGGGAGTACCCTGATTTGACGATGATTGATTTTTATTCTAATATTATTGCCTTAAACTAATTATAGTTTAAGCGTCTGGAAATGTGCTGCCTTAAACTAATTATAATTTAAGTGTCTGGAAATTAAGTGCCTTAACTGACTACAGTTAAGCGTCTGGAAATATGTTGCTTAAACTAATCATAGTTTAAGCGTCAGGTTGTCAATTGCCTTAAGCTAATCATAGGTTAAGCGTCTTGTTACTAATTGCTCTTTAAGAGTCTAGTTATGGAAATATGATTTGGCCTTAGACTAAGAATAGGTAAGAGCGTTGTTATTATCATTGGCCTTAGATTAAGAATAATTTACGAGCATTGTCGAAATAATGAATATCTGAATTGAATAACATGTATTGATATAAACTGAACAATATCAAAATCATGAATGATGAATATTTGAATTGAACATTATTTGTATAATATCAAATGATTTGATTATGAATTGAGATTCAATTTATATTGATGTTCGACGCATTAGATATGCTTACTCAGCTTCAACGCTGAGTGTGTAGTATGTTTTGTTTGCCACACGCAGGTTAATAAAAAATGATGTGACGTGATCCTAGAGGCAGACATAGGCGAAATTGTCGGAATGGATGTGATAGTTTTGAATTGAAGAGCATAAATAAATTATGTTTGTGATTATGATTTGTTAAGCTTCCATAAACATTATAAACTCCATAGTGTTACTGTTATGAATATTATTCTTATGATGAATAAAAGTGTTTGGAAATGTTCTAAATTTTTACGATTACCAAGTTAATACTTTAGTTCGAAAGGGGCTGCAGACCTGGACGGATTAGCGTGTTACAGGTACCGGTATAGGCGGAAGGGTGTCCCGTGAGGGGTCCGTTTGGAGATTCAAATTTGGCTTTCCTAAGCCTCAGGCAGTACCTAGGTACCTAGCATCCAATGGCCTGTGAAGATAGCCAAGATAGCCAGTTACCATCCTGGCGGTAGGGCCTAACATCTGTTTAGTAGCTAGGTAATGAATGGACCTACCTGTAAGGTCGGTACCTCAGTACCTTCTAATGCGAAGTTTACCTATTTTATGCACCAGCTTGATTTTTAGCTTCAACCAAAACCCAATCTTGAGAGTTTCAATGTAGATGCATTCATAAACCAATTCATAACTATATCCAACCTTACTATAACCAAATATAACTCATTTGTACATATAATCAACAAACTCCAACAAAACTTCCTAAAATAGATTTTCACATAATCAACCGTAATGACCCTACGAACGTAAGATTCAAACCTATAGGCATAATCTAGTGTTAGATCTCCACGTACTCACCTCGAATTGGTCAGAAGAAACTATGAAAGATTGAACCTGTGGATTACGTTGATTCCGGCATGACTCCTTCTTCCTCTTTCCTCCTTTGGGCCGAAATGAAATGTGTTTGGATATCCAATATCACAATCTAAATAAATCTCACAGAGATAAGTCTAGTATGTTGGACTTTATGTGTAACCTTGATTGGGAACCAGAGTACAGACCCAAATTAAGAATAACTACAGAGTTTGATTTATGATGTGAAGTTTTGAAATGATTTACTGAAATCAATCATGAGAATAAATAAAATGAATTGAATATGAGAATCTTTTGAATAAAAGATTTATTAAATCAATTTTGACTCTATCAAAGTCAACACCCAAAAATATGATATCGAAAAAGTATTACGAATAAATATAAAAATTATATCATTGGATAGAGTTTGACTGTTTGAGTGCAGCGATACAAACAGAATTTAATTCAGAAAAAGTTGGACCAAGAAGTGTACCCCGACTAGGACCAGTGCAATGGTGCTATCTGCAGAGCTTGAGGTCAATGGAGTTGATAGTAGTCATCGGTGGAAGTTTCACCGAAAATTTTTTCAAAACTCCATTTAAGCCCGAGCTAAGCCCTTAGATATATCTAGTGACTAGAATGTTTGTATAGATTTTTCTACGTTCATAAATGGTCGTTTGGTTAAATTTTGTGTTTGACATGCCTGAAGAACCAAGAATCATAAACCTTGAAATTGTTATTAAAACTACGAACTAATGATGCTAAAATGATCTATGAACTTTGGAGAACATTTCTATATAGCTTAATAGAAGTTTGGTGATTAAAAATGAAGTTTTCGAAAATTGGCCCAAGGTTGAAGATGACAATGTTCAAAACTACGAGCAGAATGGTAACGAGCTACCGCCTCGTGGTACCTTGGTACTGCCGGCACGGTAGGTCGTATCGTCGAAACAGTATGCTAGCTACCATTTCCTCCGTAGAAAACTCCCTTCTCTAGCGGTACCTGACGTCATGCGTTACCCCGTACCGTCTGGATGCTACTGAGGTTATGTTAGCCGGTACCCAGGTACCGTAAAGGGTACTGTCTAATCTTAAAATTATCCAGAAACCAGATTTTTGAAGTATTAAATCATATTTTTGATACCAATCAATTATGATCAATATGAAAACAATTTCTAGAAATAAATATGAGAATTTGATAAATCCAATAATTAACCTTGTGTGATGTATGATGGTAAGTTAAGGTGTTAACACCTCAGGCTAGGCCGCTAGTTTATATGAAATATTATGATAATTATTGTTGATTTTTGGCTACAATAAATGAATCATGATTTAATGATGAATATATTACGATAATTAAAAGCATGCCTTGTGTGATTATGATCATATAATCATGACGATCTTATTATGATAAA